TGAATATCTGACACCGTGAGACTCTAGCGTTGAGAGCAGACCAGCAGGACATGAATGTCTGACACCGTGAGACTCCAGCGTTGAGAGCAGACCAACAGGAAATGAATGTCTGACACCGTGAGACTCCAGCGTTGAGAGCAGACCAACAGGACATGAATGTCTGACACCGTGAGACTCTAGCAGTGAGGGCAGACCAGCAGGACATGAATGTCTGACACCGTGAGACTCCAGCGGTGAGAGCAGACCAGCAGGAATGAATGTCTGACACCGTGAGACTCTAGCAGTGAGAGCAGACCAGCAGGACATGAATATCTGACACCGTGAGACTCTAGCAGTGAGAGCAGACCAGCAGGACATGAATGTCTGACACCGTGAGACTCTAGCAGTGAGAGCAGACCAGCAGGACATGAATGTCTGACACCGTGAGACTCTAGCAGTGAGAGCAGACCAGCAGGACATGAATGTCTGACACCGTGAGACTCTAGCAGTGAGGGCAGACCAGCAGGACATGAATGTCTGACACCGTGAGACTCTAGTGAGAGCAGACCAACAGGACATGAATGTCTGACACCGTGAGACTCTAGCGTTGAGAGCAGACCAGCAGGACATGAATGTCTGACACCGTGAGACTCTAGCAGTGAGAGCAGACCAGCAGGACATGAATGTCTGACACCGTGAGACTCTAGCAGTGAGGGCAGACCAGCAGGACCTGAATGTCTGACACCGTGAGACTCTAGCAGTGAGGGCAGACCAGCAGGACATGAATGTCTGACACCGTGAGACTCTAGCGTTGAGAGCAGACCAACAGGACATGAATGTCTGACACCGTGAGACTCCAGCGTTGAGAGCAGACCAACAGGACATGAATGTCTGACACCGTGAGACTCTAGCAGTGAGGGCAGACCAACAGGACCTCAATGACTGACACCGTGAGACTCTAGCGTTGAGAGCAGACCAGCAGGGCCTGAATGTCTGACACCATGAGACTCCAGCGTTGAGAGCAGACCAACAGGAAATGAATGTCTGACACCGTGAGACTCCAGCGTTGAGAGCAGACCAACAGGACATGAATGTCTGACACCGTGAGACTCTAGCAGTGAGGGCAGACCAGCAGGACATGAATGTCTGACACCGTGAGACTCTAGCAGTGAGGGCAGACCAGCAGGACATGAATGTCTGACACCGTGAGACTCTAGCAGTGAGAGCAGACCAGCAGGACATGAATATCTGACACCGTGAGACTCCAGCGGTGAGAGCAGACCAGCAGGACATGAATGTCTGACACCGTGAGACTCTAGCAGTGAGAGCAGACCAGCAGGACATGAATATCTGACACCGTGAGACTCTAGCGTTGAGAGCAGACCAGCAGGACATGAATGTCTGACACCGTGAGACTCCAGCGTTGAGAGCAGACCAACAGGAAATGAATGTCTGACACCGTGAGACTCCAGCGTTGAGAGCAGACCAACAGGACATGAATGTCTGACACCGTGAGACTCTAGCAGTGAGGGCAGACCAGCAGGACATGAATGTCTGACACCGTGAGACTCCAGCGGTGAGAGCAGACCAGCAGGACATGAATGTCTGACACCGTGAGACTCTAGCAGTGAGAGCAGACCAGCAGGACATGAATATCTGACACCGTGAGACTCTAGCAGTGAGAGCAGACCAGCAGGACATGAATGTCTGACACCGTGAGACTCTAGCAGTGAGAGCAGACCAGCAGGACATGAATGTCTGACACCGTGAGACTCTAGCAGTGAGAGCAGACCAGCAGGACATGAATGTCTGACACCGTGAGACTCTAGCAGTGAGGGCAGACCAGCAGGACATGAATGTCTGACACCGTGAGACTCTAGCTCTGAGAGCAGACCAACAGGACATGAATGTCTGACACCGTGAGACTCTAGCGTTGAGAGCAGACCAGCAGGACATGAATGTCTGACACCGTGAGACTCTAGCAGTGAGAGCAGACCTGCAGGACATGAATGTCTGACACCGTGAGACTCTAGCAGTGAGGGCAGACCAGCAGGACCTGAATGTCTGACACCGTGAGACTCTAGCAGTGAGGGCAGACCAGCAGGACCTGAATGTCTGACACCGTGAGACTCCAGCAGTGAGAGCAGACCAGCAGGACATGAATGTCTGACACCGTGAGACTCCAGCAGTGAGGGCAGACCAGCAGGACATGAATGTCTGACACCGTGAGACTCTAGCAGTGAGGGCAGACCAGCAGGACATGAATGTCTGACACCGTGAGACTCTAGCAGTGAGGGCAGACCAGCAGGACCTGAATGTCTGACACCGTGAGACTCTAGCCGTGAGGGCAGACCAGCAGGACCTGAATGTCTGACACCGTGAGACTCTAGCAGTGAGGGCAGACCAGCAGGACCTGAATGTCTGACACCGTGAGACTCCAGCAGTGAGAGCAGACCAGCAGGACATGAATGTCTGACACCGTGAGACTCTAGCAGTGAGAGCAGACCAGCAGGACATGAATGTCTGACACCGTGAGACTCTAGCAGTGAGAGCAGACCAGCAGGACATGAATGTCTGACACCGTGAGACTCTAGCAGTGAGAGCAGACCAGCAGGACATGAATGTCTGACACCGTGAGACTCTAGCAGTGAGGGCAGACCAGCAGGACATGAATGTCTGACACCGTGAGACTCTAGCTCTGAGAGCAGACCAACAGGACATGAATGTCTGACACCGTGAGACTCTAGCGTTGAGAGCAGACCAGCAGGACATGAATGTCTGACACCGTGAGACTCTAGCAGTGAGAGCAGACCAGCAGGACATGAATGTCTGACACCGTGAGACTCTAGCAGTGAGGGCAGACCAGCAGGACCTGAATGTCTGACACCGTGAGACTCTAGCAGTGAGGGCAGACCAGCAGGACCTGAATGTCTGACACCGTGAGACTCCAGCAGTGAGGGCAGACCAGCAGGACCTGAATGTCTGACACCGTGAGACTCTAGCAGTGAGGGCAGACCAGCAGGACCTGAATGTCTGACACCGTGAGACTCCAGCAGTGAGGGCAGACCAGCAGGACCTGAATTTCTGACACCGTGAGACTCCAGCAGTGAGAGCAGACCAGCAGGACATGAATGTCTGACACCGTGAGACTCTAGCAGTGAGGGCAGACCAGCAGGACCTGAATGTCTGACACCGTGAGACTCCAGCAGTGAGAGCAGACCAGCAGGAAATGAATGTCTGACACCGTGAGACTCTAGCAGTGAGGGCAGACCAGCCGGACCTGAATGTCTGACACCGTGAGACTCCAGCAGTGAGAGCAGACCAGCAGGACATGAATGTCTGATACCGTGAGACTCTAGCAGTGAGAGCAGACCAGCAGGACATGAATGTCTGATACCGTGAGACTCTAGCGTTGAGAGCAGACCAGCAGGACCTGAATGTCTGACACCGTGAGACTCTAGCAGTGAGAGCAGACCAGCAGGACATGAATATCTGACACCGTGAGACTCCAGCGGTGAGAGCAGACCAGCAGGACATGAATGTCTGACACCGTGAGACTCTAGCAGTGAGAGCAGACCAGCAGGACATGAATGTCTGACACCGTGAGACTCTAGCAGTGAGAGCAGACCAGCAGGACCTGAATGTCTGACACCGTGAGACTCCAGCAGTGAGAGCAGACCAGCAGGACATGAATGTCTGACACCGTGAGACTCTAGCAGTGAGAGCAGACCAGCAGGACATGAATGTCTGACACCGTGAGACTCTAGCAGTGAGAGCAGACCAGCAGGACCTGAATGTCTGACACCGTGAGACTCCAGCAGTGAGAGCAGACCAGCAGGACCTGAATGTCTGACACCGTGAGACTCTAGCGTTGAGAGCAGACCAGCAGGACATGAATATCTGACACCGTGAGACTCCAGCAGTGAGAGCAGACCAGCAGGACCTGAATGTCTGACACCGTGAGACTCTAGCAGTGAGAGCAGACCAGCAGGACCTGAATGTCTGACACCGTGAGACTCTAGCAGTGAGAGCAGACCAGCAGGACATGAATATCTGACACCGTGAGACTCCAGCGGTGAGAGCAGACCAGCAGGCGTTCGGTTCAAACACCTAAAGAGCTTACATCCCGGGCATCCATAAGGCTGGCACCAGGCGGGTGTCACCTGCAGTACTGTAGGGCTGGATGCTGTGATGCTGTTTAGTTTGGGCAGCCCTGACAGAGTGGTTGGTCTAGATCGTTGGTCCCCAACCTTTTTCATGCGGCACCCCACCCCATCTTTTCCCTTGAGTATAAGGAAAACCCTCAACGCCACCCCTTTTTCCCATTGAGTATAAGAAAGACAACCCCACACCCCACCTTTCCCTTGAGTATAAGGAAAAACCTCAACCCCACCCCCTCCTTTTCCTTGAGTACATGGAAAACCCTTAAATTTTGAGTATATGGAAAAACACCCCTCGCCCCTCCCATCCACCCCAACATACGAAATGTTTTTAAAACAAGGAGGGCAAAATGTAACAGGAACTTGAAGAAAAACACGCTCATATTTTAAAGTGTCAAATAACAATAGAATCAATCACTAACAACTGGTAACTTAGTGTCTAAATGACAATGCGACGATTGACACAAGTTTTGTCTTCATGATATCTGCTATTTTTGGTTTCATGTTGGACTAGGCACAAAGGAGATCACTCTCCACCCCAAGCTGGCAGCGCTGTTTTGTTTTCATGACTGTTTTGTTTTCATGACTGTTTTGTTTTCATGACTGTTTTGTTTTCATGACTGTTTTGTTTTCATGACTGTTTTGTTTCCCAGTTATTTCATGTACATGTATTCAGTATGAAAATTACTTGACAACCCCCCCCCCCTCTTTTTTTAAAGATCCTCACGCCCCTGGGGGTGGGGGGAGGGGTGGGTTTACGCCTCCATGCTGAAGACCACTGCGGTAGATAAAGTACGGAGAGTTCAGATTTTGTTCCGTTTCAAAGATAAACTTTTTTTTTTTACCCTCTTGTCGTCAAATTTAAACTTTGGAAATATCAAAATAAATACAGTTACGTAAAACAATTGCTAGAGACAGTAACAATACACAGATCTGTAAATGATTTGAATGAAGCGACGTCGAATGGTTTCCCTTGTTGTACCCAGTTGTTACAGCTGGCATCCCCTTGGTGCATTGGATGGAATAGTTAAACTTTGGTGAGCCGAAGGAATTGGAAAGCTCCACAAGCATGGCGCCAAGAGCCCAGTCTGTTGGTGGAAGAAGGTTTCAATTTGAGTAATAATAGAATCAGTGTAACAGGTTACACGCAAACCGTGGGGCATTGTCTGGCTTATTTTATTGTTATACTAGCACACATAATGTCACATCCCATGTATTGTTACACAACAGGTATAGTTAGACCACATGTTGTCACACCACACTTATTGTCACAATACATAAAATGTCACACACACATATTATCACACCACATTATTAGTCAGACCACGCAAGTTGTCACACCACGCTTATTGTCATGATACATATAATGTCACACCACATATATTGTCACACCACACATATTGTCACAATACATATCATGTCACACCACACCTATTGTCACACCAGACTTATTGTCACACCACAAATATTGTCACACCACATTTATTGTCACTCCACAAATATTGTCACACTACATATATTGATGTGACACAGTTGTGTCTCCCTGCTCCCCAAGCGTAAACACGCCTAGATGGAACAGGTGATAAGATTGAGTTAAATGTCTCTTTTGTGTTTACTAACACGGCCAGTGAACCAAAAACATTGGTTATTACCAACACGGCCAGTGAACCAACAACTTTTGTGTCTACCACCACGGCCAGTGAACCAACAACTTTTGTGTCTACCAACACGGCCAGTGAACCAAAAACATTTGTGTTTACCAACGCAGCCAGTGATCCAACAAATTGCGTGTTTACCAAGACGGCCAGTGATCCAACTACTTTTGTGTTTACTAACACGGCCAGTGAACCAACAACATTTGTGTTTACCAACACGGCCATTGAACCAACCACTTTTGTGTTTACCAACACGGCTAGTGAACCAAAAAATTTTGTGTTTACCAACACGGCAGTGAACCAAAAACATTTGTGTTTACTGACACGGCCAGTGATCCAACAACATTTGTGTTTACCAAGACGGCCAGTGATCCAACAACTTTTGTGTTTACCAACACTGTCAGTGAACCAACAACTTTTGTGTTTACCAACACTGCCAGTGATCCAACAACATTTGTGTTTACCAACACGGCCAGCGATCCAACAACTTTAGTGCAATTAATGTTTGTTTATTATAAAAAACACAATATCAATGTCATGACACAAGTGCAGCCGTCAGTTCGGTTAAACAACGATGACTAAACACTAAAGTATACTGTAGTTACTGTAGCATATGTTGAACACTCCAGTTAAGGTTACTGTAGAGTATGTTGAACACTCCAGTATAGGTTACTGTAGCGTATGTTGAAGACTCCAGTAAAGGTTAATGTAGCCTATGTTGAACACTCCAGTATAGGTTACTGTAGCGTATGTTGAACACTCCAGTAAAGGTTACTGTAGCGTATGTTGAACACTCCAGTATAGGTTACTGTAGCGTATGTTGAAGACTCCAGTTAAGGTTACTGTAGCGTATGTTGAACAATCCAGTAAAGGGTACTGTAGCGTATGTTGAAGACTCCAGTTAAGGTTACTGTAGCGTATGTTGAACAATCCAGTTAAGGTTACTGTAGCGTATGTTGAAGACTCCAGTTAAGGTTACTGTAGCGTATGTTAAAGACTCCAGTAAAGGTTACTGTAGCGTATGTTGAAGACTCCAGTAAAGGTTACTGTAGCGTATGTTGAAGACTCCAGTTAAGGTTACTGTAACGTATGTTGAACAATCCAGTAAAGGGTACTGTAGCGTATGTTGAACACCTCTATCGGGATATAACTGTTATCTACTTGTATATTAAGGAAAGTCTCTTTTATCACGTAGTAGAATTTATCTTGTTTCTAACGAAGTATTTATATCTCAGTTACTTTTAACCAGAGTCTGTCATTTTCTGATTTCGTTCGTAAATTGCTCTCTTCACAAGCTGAAGTACTTTTAGTTCCGCTCGGCTACAGCACCTTAGACCTAACTCCTTGAGAGCTCTCTCTCTCTCTCTCTCTCTCTCTCTCTCTCTCTCTCTCTCTCTCTCTCTCTCTCTATTTTTGCTGGTCCTTGCCTCTCCCCCTCTTTCTCGTTATTTCGTTTTCTTTTTCTTCTCTAAGCCCAAGCGATTTTCCCCATCCCTGACAGCGTCAATTTGTTCATCAACTATCTTCCCAAGGTGATCCCGGCGTATCTCGATGCTGTGGTCAGTCGTCTTATCTCAAGCGTGGCGTACGCTGGCCCGGGATTCATGGTCGGATCTCACCCTCTCTGACGGCGAGATTAATGTCCAGTATCTGGTGTGGCGTTCTTCGACCTGCGTTCTAATCCTGATTGCGGGTGTGCCGGCTATCATGTCATTCGGTGATGGATGCTGGTGTCAGTGCCTCGGTGCATACATTCTTTGGTGCTTCTCCACCTGTTAACCCCCTATGTTTAATGTTATACCACACAGACACACTATACACATTGTCATACCATACACACCACACATATTATTACGCTACATATGTGGTCATACCACACATAATGTCACACCACACATAATGTTTCACCACTCATAATGTTATACCACACAATTTTCATACCCACACATTGTCACACCACACATATTTAAACAGAAGTAGAACAGGCATGGAAGGCAAAGAGAGCCGCAGTGAAGCAGCTAAAGAAAGTACGACAGATGAAGTGTAGATGGCGGAGAATGTGAAAAAATATAAGGTGGAGGTTTTCAAGCGCTGTGCTGCAGAGGCCAAAAAAGCAAAGTGTGAAACTTTTGTGAATGATATGAGGGGCGATGAAACTTTGGGGAAATTCTGGAAACTGCAAAGGCAGATGCAAAGAAAAGATCGGCCTATGACAGTCGGAACAATTTGTAGAGACGATGGTGTGCGTGTGGCAACAGACAAGGAGAAAGTGGAGGCTTTTTTCCTTAGGTTTATAGCTCAGACAGATCATAATGATGTAGACATCAGGGATGCAGTTAGAAAGGAGTTAGCTGGCACCTTGAAGAATATGCATTATGAAGACATGATACAAGTGGAAGATATCAAGCACATTTTGAAAAAAAAGCAAAAGACTGCACCAGTGTCTGATGGTGACAGGTATGGTCACTTGAAGGTTTTGAGCGATGTAGACCTGGCAGAGGTGGCCGACTGTTTTAACCAGAGTATTAAGACAGCATCAGTACCGCAAGACTGGGTGCACAGCTATCAAATCCCACAACCAAAACCTTTTAAAGATAATTCAAAGCTTAGTGGATTTAGAATCATCACCTTATAAAACACATTTGGGAAGGTCTTGGAGAAGATAGTTGCTGTAAAGTTACAAGAATTTTTGTAAAGGGGGAAGCTTCTCCCAAGAGGTCTGGGAAGTTACAGGCCAGGAAAGGACACTTGGGCAAATGTGGCCACTTTTGCTTTTGACGTCTATGAAGGGTTCCAGAACAGACAGGAAACTATGGCGGTAGCACTGGATCTCGAGGATGCTTATAATAGAGTGAGATAGACACCTTAATGACTGCACTGAGGGAGAAGGAGGTCAATCCATGGCTGGTGAATTGGGTTGCAGCTGTCCTGTATTCACGTCGGGTTGCTCTCTGACTGGGCTTATGGACCTCTGAACCATGCACTTTGGCCCCAGGACTGCCACAGGGATCCGCCATCTAGCCTGTGCTCTTCAACGTGTATACGAGCAAGATTGCAAGCCTAGAAGCACAAGAAGTTGGAAGGATACTGACTTTTGCGGATGATATACTTGCATATAGGCAGCAGGAAGAGAGGGAACAAACAGCTCGGGAGCTACAAGCGACAGTTGACAAAGTGACTGAGTGGTGTACAGAAATGAGGGCTGTCGTCCACCCGGAAAAAGCGTCTGTTTTGTCGTGTTCTCTGGACAACAGAATCATTAAAACTAATGTCCCAAGTCTCACGATAGATGGTAGAGACGTCAACACAGAGAGAGAGAGAGAGAGAGAGAGAGAGAGAGAGAGAGAGAGAGAGAGAGAGCAAACTGAAGTATCTAGGAAATACATTTGACAGGAGCCTGTCATTTAAGGACCATGTGGAGAGTTGTGAGGAGATGCCAAAAAGGACTTAGTGCTCTTAAGACTATAGCTGCAATTGACATAGAGCAGAGAATGCTTTTTACACTATATCAGCACGTGATCCTGTCAGTGGTGGATTATGGCCTGGGACTGCTTACCGTCTCAAAGAGTCAGATGGACAAACTAGAGCGCATACAGAACGCGGCTATGCGGGTCATTCTGAGTTGCACCAGAGACACCCCAGTGGTGTGTATGCGATACATCCTTGGTTTGCCGACGGTTGCAGGTAGGCTCAAGGTGCTGCAGGCGAAGTCATATCTCAGGGTAGATGAAGACACAGACCACCCTCTGCATGAAGCTCTGGGTGCAGTTAAGGGTCAGCGGCTGATAAGAGCGAGGTCATGGATGGCTCAGGCAGAAGACACAATCAAATAGGTTTGCATCCTCTAGAACATTAGGCGAGGAGAGGAGTGGGTCAAAGTGCCACCTGAGCAGTCAGACCTGTGTAGAGTCATAATCACGCTGAGCCGGGAATGCAGAGACTGGCCAGCAGGTGCCACAGAGGTGGAAATTCAACAATTAATTCAAGATAGTGCTCGCTCGGAGGATTTGATCATTTACACGACGGTTCAGTGTCAAGAGGCAAAAGAAGTGCTTGGGGCTTCTTAGCAAAAGTTAATGGTCGACGTTTGATGCAGGAGAGCCTAGCGTATGATACCACAACATCCAGCTGGAGGTGGAGGCGGTCACTGCAGCTTTCCGCTGGCTAGAGAACACGACACACACACACATATCGTGATTGTAACTGATTCAGAAAGCATGCTGAGGAAGATTAGAACAGGTATGCTTCGTGCAGAGTGGCATGCTCCTCTGCGGAGGACACGAGTAAGGAGTATTGTCTGGATTTTTTCACCGGGTCACGCCGGTGTGTTGGGAAATGAACAGGCGGACAGACTGGCTGGCTCTGCACAACTTGGTGGAATACTGATACATGATAGGGCAGATGTGGTTAGTGCCTTGTGGGAGAGCGTGTACAGTTCGGAGGAGCAGATGGATCACCACGGTCTGGTGAGATTGATGCAGTTGGGGGTGACGAGAGGTTCTGGCAGATACTAGAGGTTCAGAGGAAAGGCAAGACGGACGTTTAATCAGAAAGCTACTGGTACCATTAGTATCGGAACTCTTCGCTGGCTGCTGAAGATGGGGTCGGAGCGCTTATGGGAATGCCCCGAGTGCTGTGATGTCGGTTCTTGAATCAAATCTAATCAAATTAACATATTTAAACACCACACAAAGTGTCACCTTAACATTATGCTACTAAATGAAATCCTAAAACAGTCAGAAAACAAGAATGGCGAGGTTGCACTCACCCACCGTGCCCCCGTTTATTTTTGAGGTCAGCTGGATGTTGGTGGAGTTAGAGTTGAAGCCGTAGGAGAGAGTGACCAGCGTGGGTATGTAGAGCCCCATCAGACAGTCACTGGAGACGTACTGTGGGTCCATGCCTGACTCGTTAACTGCCTGCTCCAGGGTCTGTAGGCAACAACACATGTATCATTGTGTGTGGGCTGTGGGGTCTGTATGTGAGGACACATGTATCATTGTGTGTGCTGTGGGGTCTGTATGTAAGGGCACATGTATCATTGTGTGGGCTGTGGGGTCTGTAGGCAACAACACATGTATCATTGTGTGGGGGCTGTGGGATCTGTATGTGAGGGCACATGTATCATTGTGTGTGGGCTGTGGGGTCTGTATGTGAGGGCACATGTATCATTGTGTGTGCTGTGGGGTCTGTATGTGAGGACACATGTATCATTGTGTGTACTGTGGGGTCTGTATGTGAGGGCACATGTATCATTGTGTGGTCTGTGGGGTCTGTATGTGAGGACACATGTATCATTGTGTGTGGGCTGTGGGGTCTGTATGTGAGGACACATGTATCATTGTGTGTGGGCTGTGGGGTCTGTATGTGAGGACACATGTATCATTGTGTGGGCTGTGGGGTCTGTATGTGAGGGCACATGTATCATTGTGTGGGCTGTGGGGTCTGTATGTGAGGACACATGTATCATTGTGTGTGGGCTGTGGGGTCTGTATGTGAGGGCACATGTATCATTGTGTGTGGGCTGTGGGGTCTGTATGTGAGGACACATGTATCATTGTGTGGGCTGTGGGGTCTGTATGTGAGGACACATGTATCATTGTGTGTGATGTGGGGTCTGTATGTGAGGAAACATGTATCATTGTGTGTGCTGTGGGGTATGTGAGGACACATGTATCATTGTGTGTGGGCTGTGGGGTCTGTATGTGAGGACACATGTATCATTGTGTGGGCTGCGGGGTCTGTATGTAAGGGCACATGTATCATTGTGTGTGCTGTGGGGTCTGTATGTGAGGAAACATGTATCACTGTGTGTGCTGTGGGGTCTGTATGTGAGGGCACATGTATCATTGTGTGTGGTCTGTGGGGTCTGTATGTGAGGGCACATGTATCATTGCGTGTGGTCTGTGGGGTCTGTATGTGAGGACACATGTATCATTGTGTGTGGTCTGTTTGGGTCTGTATGTGAGTACACATGTATCATTGTGTGTGGTCTGTGGGGTCTGTATGTGAGGACACATGTATCATTATGTGTGGGATGTGGGGTCTGTATGTGAGGGCACATGTATCATTGTGTGGGCTGTGGGGTCTGTATGTGAGGACACATGTATCATTGTGTGTACTGTGGGTTCTGCATGTGAGGACACATGTATCATTGTGTGTACTGTGGGGTCTGTATGTGAGGATACATGTATCATTGTGTGTGCTGTGGGGTCTGTATGTGAGGACACATGTATCATTGTATGTACTGTGGGGTCTGTATGTGAGGACACATGTATCATTGTGTGTACTGTGGGGTCTGTATGTGAGGACACATGTATCATTGTGTGTGCTGTGGGGTCTGTATGTGAGGACACATGTATCATTGTGTGTACTGTGGGGTCTGTATGTGAGGACACATGTATCATTGTGTGTGGGCTGTGGGGTCTGTATGTGAGTACACATGTATCATTATGTGTGGGCTGTGGGGTCTGTATGCGAGGACACATGTATCATTGTGTGTGTGCTGTGGGGTCTGTATGCGAGGACACATGTATCATTGTGTGTGCTGTGGGGTGTGTATGTGAGGACACATGTATCATTGTGTGGGCTGTGGGGTCTGTATGTGAGGACACATGTATCATTGTGTGGGCTGTGTGGTCTGTATGGTCTGTATGTGAGGACACATGTATCATTGTGTGGGCTGTGGGGTCGGTATGTGAGGACACATGTATCATTGTGTGGGCTGTGGGGTCTGTATGTGAGGACACATGTATCATTGTGTGGGCTGTGGGGTCTGTATGTGAGGACACATGTATCATTGTGTGGGCTGTGGGGTCTGTATGTGAGGACACATGTATCATTGTGTGGGCTGTGGGGTGTGTATGTGAGGACACATTTGTCATTGTGTGGGCCGTGGGGTGTGTATGTGAGGACACATGTATCATTGTGTGGGCTGTGGGGTCTGTATGTGAGGACACATGTATCATTGTGTGGGCTGTGGGGTCTGTATGTGAGGACACATGTATCATTGTGTGGGCTGTGGGGTCTGTATGTGAGGACACATGTATCATTGTGTGGGCTGTGGGGTGTGTATGTGAGGACACATGTATCATTGTGTGGGCTGTGGGGTCTGTATGTGAGGACACATGTATCATTGTGTGGGCTGTGGGGTCTGTATGTGAGGACACATGTATCATTGTGTGGGCTGTGGGGTCTGTATGTGAGGACACATGTATCATTGTGTGGGCTGTGGGGTCTGTATGTGAGGACACATGTATCATTGTGTGGGCTGTGGGGTCTGTATGTGAGGGCACATGTATCATTGTGTGGGCTGTGGGGTCTGTATGTGAGGACACATGTATCATTGTGTGTGGTCTGTGGGGTCTGTATGTGAGGACACAAGTATCATTGTGTGTGCTGTGGGGTCTGTATGTGGGGGCACATGTATCATTGTGTGTACTGTGGGATACCAACATACACCATGACACGGCACCAACATACACCATGACAGGGCACTGACATACACAATGACAGGACACTAACACGCACCATCTCGTAGCACCTACATACACGACGACACAGCACCAGCATACACCATGACGTCCTTGACCCACACTGTTAGAGTTGTAGAGAGTCGAGACCTTGACCCACACTGTTAGAGTTGTAGAGAGTCGAGACCTTGACCCACACTGTTAGAGTTGTAGAGAGTCGAGACCTTGACCCACAATGTTACAGTTGTAGAGAGACGAGACCTTGACCCACAATGTTACAGTTGTAGAGAGTCGAGACCTTGACCCTCACTGTTAGAGTTGTAGAGAGTTGAGACCTTGACGCACACTGTTACAGTTGTAGAGAGTGGAGACCTTGACTTACCCTGTTACAGTTGTAGAGAGTGGAGACCTTGACTTACCCTGTTACAGTTGTAGAGAGTGGAGACCTTGACTTACACTGTTACAGTTGTAGAGAGTGGAGACCTTGACTTACCCTGTTACAGTTGTAGAGAGTGGAGAACTTGACCCACACTGTTACAGTTGTAGACAGTTGAGACCTTGACCCACACTGTTACAGTTGTAGAGAGTGGAGACCTTGACCCACACTGTTAGAGTTGTAGATAGTTGAGACCTTGACCCACACTGTTAGAGTTGTAGAGAGTTGAGACCTTGACGCACACTGTTACAGTTGTAGAGAGTGGAGACCTTGACTTACCCTATTACAGTTGTAGAGAGTGGAGACCTTGACCCACACTGTTAGCGTTGTAGAGAGTCGAGACCTTGACCCACACTTTTACAGTTGAAGAGAGTTGAGACCTTTACTTACACTGTTACAGTTGTAGAGAGTCGAGACCTTGACCCACACTGTTACAATTGTAGAGAGTGGAGACCTTGACTTACACTGTTACAGTTGTAGAGAGTGGGGACCTTACCCACACTGTTACAGTTGTAGAGAGTTGAGACCTTGACTTACCCTGTTACAGTTGTAGAGAGTGGAGACCTTGACTTACACTGTTACAGTTGTAGAGAGTGGAGACCTTGACTTACCCTGTTACAGTTGTAGAGAGTGGAGACCTTGACCCACACTGTTACAGTTGTAGAGAGTGGAGACCTTGACAAACACTGTTACAGTTGTAGAGAGTGTAGACCTTGACCCACACTGTTAGAGTTGTAGAGAGTTGAGACCTTGACCCACACTGTTAGAGTTGTAGAGAGTTGAGACCTTGACGCACACTGTTACAGTTGTAGAGAGTAGAGACCTTGACTTACCCTGTTACAGTTGTAGAGAGTGGAGACCTTGACCCACACTGTTAGAGTTGTAAAGAGTCGAGACCTTGACCCACTCTGTTACAGTTGTAGAGAGTTGAGACCTTTACTTACACTGTTACAGTTGTAGAGAGTCGAGACCTTGACCCACACTGTTACAGTTGTAGAGAGTAGAGACCTTGACTTACACTGTTACAGTTGTAGAAAGTTAAGACCTTGACTTACACTGTTACAATTGTAGAGAGTGGAGACCTTGACTTACACTGTTACAGTTGTAGAGAGTCGAGACCTTGACTTACCCTGTTACAGTTGTAGAGAGTGGAGACCTTGACTTACACTGTTACAGTTGTAGAGAGTGGAGACCTTGACCAACACTGTTACAGTTGTAGAGAGTCGAGACCTTGACTTACACTGTTACAGTTGTAGAGAGTGGAGACCTTTACTTACACTGTTACAGTTGTAGAGAGTTGAGACCTTGACTTGCACTGTTACAGTTGTAGAGAGTTGAGACCTTGACTTACACTGTTACAGTTGTAGAGAGTTGAGATCTTGACTTACACTGTTACAGTTGTAGAGAGTTGAGACCTTGACTTACACTGTTACAGGTGTAGAGAGTGGAGACCTTGACACACACTGTTACAGTTGTAGAGAGTGGAGACCTTTACTTACACTGTTACAGTTGTATAGAGTTGAGACCTTGACTTACACTGTTACAGTTGTAGAGAGTTGAGACCTTGACTTACACTGTTACAGTTGTAGAGAGTGGAGACCTTGACTTACCCTTTTACAGTTGTAGAGAGTGGAGACCTTTTTTTACACTGTTACAGTTGTAGAGAGTAGAGACCTTGACTTACACTGTTACAGTTGTAGAGAGTTGAGACCTTGACTTACACTTGTACAGTTGTAGAGAGCGGAGACCTTGACCCACACTGTTACAGTTGTAGAGAGTGGAGACCTTGACTTACACTGTTACAGTTGTAGAGAGTCGAGACCTTGAGTTACCCTGTTACATTTGTAGAGAGTTGAGACCTCGACCCACACTGTTACAGTTGTATAGACCCCAGACCTGGACTTACCCTGTTACAGTGGTAGATGGCAGCCTCTTCCAGCTTATCTATGTGGAGAATCTTGTCATCATCCACTACTTTAAGGTTCTCTGGCGTGTAGGTGAAAGCTTGGGTGGCCACGAACTTCAGGTTGTCCACGCTGGGCTGGTAGACGGAACCTGACGACCACACAAACAATTGTCAGATATTCACTAGGTTCATCATCCATATTAATGTCAAAATTTTTGGCTGCAGCATCATCAGCCTCAGCAAATGTTTGAGAGAACGTCGCTCTCGTCTCAACAAGCTATCTTTCTCTCTGTGTTCACCAGACTCCGACGGAAGGTTCTGGTTGTTCGTTCACTTCTACACTTTCGTCTTGTTTCAGAACTTAAGATTTGCATGCACATCTGTTTTACTGATCTGTCTTATTAGTGAGAAGACTATTGGTTACTTGTCTCCAAGACAGAGGCCGCCCGATTTGGAAGGAAACCCCAACTTAGTTGACTTTTACGACACGACTGAATTTGTGTGTGTGTTCTCCACATCATGAGAACAGGCAGAGAACGGTCCGCTGGAAACTCTCTTTTACTTGACCACATCTCAAGGCCTGAATGCTTCCATTTCATAGCACACATTTTATAGCACACATGTCATAGCACACATTTCATAGCACATATTTCATAGCGCACATTTCATAGCACACATGTCATAGCACACATGTCATAGCGCACATTTCATATCACACATGTCATAGCACACAGTTCATAGCGCACATTTCATAGCACACATGTCATAGCGCACATGTCATAGCACACATTTCAAAGCACACATGTCATAGCGCACATTTCATAGCGTACATTTCATAGCACACATTACATAGCACACATTTAACAGCACACATTTTATAGCACACATTTCATAGCGCGCACTTCTTTGCACACATTTCATAGCACACATTTCATAGAATACATTTCACAGCGCACATTTCATAGCACACATTTCCTAGCAGACCTTTCATAGCACATATTTCATAGAGTACATTTCACAGCACACATTTCATAGCACACATTTCCTAGCAGACCTTTCATAGCACACATTTCATAGAATACATTTCACAGCGCACATTTCATAGCACACATTTCCTAGCAGACCTTTCATAGCACACATTTCATAGAATACATTTCACAGCGCACATTTCATAGCACACATTTCCTAGCAGACCTTTCATAGCACACATTTCATAGAATACATTTCACAGCACACATTTCATAGCACACATTTCATAGCACACATTTCCTAGCAGACCTTTCATAGCACATATTTTATAGCACACATTTTATAGCACACATTTCTTAGCACATATTTTATAGCACACATTTTATAGCACACATTTCATAGCACATATTTATTGGCACATATTTCATAGCACACATTTCATAACACACATGTCATAGCACACATTTCATAGCACACATATTTTATAGCACACATATTTCATAGCACACATATTTCATAGCACACATTTTATAGCACACATTTCATAGCACATATTTCATAGCACACATATTTCATAGCACACATTTTATAGCACACATTTCATAGCACACACATTTCATAGCACACATTTTATAGCACACATTTCATAGCACATATTTCATAGCACACATTTCATAGCACACATTTCATAGCACACATTTCATAGCACACATTTCATAGCACACATATTTTATAGTACACATATTTTATAGCACACATATTTCATAGCACACATTTTATAGCACACATTTCATAGCACATATTTCATAGCACACATTTCATAGCACACATTTCATAGCACACATTTCATAGCACACATTTCATAGCACATATTTCATAGCACACATTTCATAGCACACATTTCATAGCACACATTTCATAGCACACATTTCATAGCACACATATTTTATAGCACACATTTCATAGCACACATATTTTATAGCACACATTTCATAGCACACATTTCATAGCACACATTTCATAGCACACATATTTTTATAGCACATATTTCATAGCACACATTTAATAGCACACATTTCATAGCACACATTTCATAGCACACATATTTTATAGCACACATTTAATAGACAAAAGGACTGTGCGGGAAACCAAAGAAGAAAAAGAACAATCTAAGACAGGACTGGTGTCGTCAGTCGCTACAGACTGTTGGATTTACGAGATGCGATCCCAGCACTTATGGGCTGAATAGTTTGATGTGCAATGGGAATCATCTGTTTACTAACCAACAAATATTTTCCAGTCTATGCATCTTCAACATCTCGTATCCACGTTTACAAATGTTAGCCTGTACATTTTTCTTACACTGTACACCCCCTCCCCCCCCCCCCTCTACCCCCTGCCATCACTATCTTGCCCTGTACATTTTCCTTACACTGTACACCCCCCCCCCCCTTTTTCCCATCCTATCTTGCCCTGGCCAACATGGTGTTTAACACGGCCAAAATAATTCCCTGGCTCGTCAGTGTCTTCTTAATTAATTATCATTATCATTATTATCATCATCGCCTGACTTGTCAGATGATCTAGGCGTCCACTCGTCCCTACAGTGGAAACTCTGGTGGGCCAGGTCGTGTCTGCTGATGCCTTGTGGAGAGGTCCTTGTGCCTCCAACTGATCCTCGGCCTAATATAGATGGTAAAAAACAATCAACGAACCTCTGAAAACGAACAACCTGGCAGTTAAACTCACCGATAGCGCATGGCTTGGGCGAACAGTCCTGTCCTGTGTTTGGGTGGAGAAACTTTCTCAGAATCTGCAGACATGCCTCGGGATCGCCTGTTCCCTTTTCTAGAATCAGGCGCCCATCATCGAGTGTAGTGTTCCTTGAGTCCTCTAGCACACGGAAGACGTAACAACAACTGTTGTAACACTTTTGATCAGCATAATTGATTAGTTTAACCACTATAGCACTTGTAAAATGCATAATTGTATAGTTTAACGACTATAGCACTAGAATAGTACATTATTGTGTAGTTTAACCCTATAGCTCTAGAATAGTACATTATTGTGTAGTTTAACCCTATAGCTCTAGAATAGTACATAATTGTATAGTTTAACGACTATAGCACTAGAATAGTACATTATTGTGTAGTTTAACCCTATAGCTCTAGAATAGTACATAATTGTATAGTTTAACGACTATAGCACTAGAATAGTACATTATTGTGTAGTTTAACCCTATAGCTCTAGAATAGTACATAATTGTATAGTTTAACGACTATAGCACTAGAATAGTACATTATTGTGTAGTTTAACCCTATAGCTCTAGAACAGTGCATAACTGTGTAGTTTAACCAATATAGCACTAGAATAAAGCATAATTGTATAGTTTACGCACTATAGCTCTAGAATAGTGCATAATCGTAAAGTGTAACCATTAAAGCACTCATGATAAGCATAATCAAATAGTTTATTCGCTGTAAGGCTAGTCATCATCATCATGTTGCAAGTCCTTCACAGAACGTCGCTCTCATCACAGTCTGCCTGTAAGAAACTCGGTCTCTCGCCAGTTCTCCCACCTCATGTACTTTCCCACTCAAGGAGTCACTTATATCCTGTGCCAATCTTCGTGTTGGTCGGCCCCTGCCCCTCCTTCCTGGTACCACGCCTTCTGCTATAATTTTGTATAAGGCTAGTACTGTGTAAGAACTGTATAGTTTAATTGCTGCAGCACTAGTTTTAGGTATACTGTGCATGTAATATGTGTAGTACTTTGTATAACTGCATAGTTCAGCACTTAACTTCTGCAGTTTGACTCCTGAAATAAGTTATATACTTTCAAATCCAACATTTCAGTATGTTCACACAATTTCACAATCATGTTCACACACCCCCACACGCTACACACGAGTTGACACACATGTTCACACACCGCCACACGCAACACACGAGTTGACACGCATGTTCACACACCCCCACACGCAACACACGAGTTGACACGCATTTTCACAGACTCACGTCAGCAGGAAACGAGTTGACACACATGTTCACACACCCCCACACACATGTTCACACACCCCCACACACATGTTCACACACCCCCACACACATGTTCACAGACCTCTGAGCATGCAGGGGTTTTCCACCTCACTTTGGTTCAGCGACCCGTGGAGCAGGGCGTACACCACCTTCTGGCTGATGGCGTTAGCTCCGAACTGTAGGTAGCTCTGGACGTACAGCTGGTAGGCTCGCCCGGCCACGATCGCCTGCAACCATACAGACCTGGTCACTAACAAGGTATACATTGTTATAACTGGGACATCAAACATTATAATATCTTTCCAAGTGATCCACACACTCTGCGCACGATGCGAGTTTCAGTTTTGTGAAGCATGCCCTATGAGTCTGTTTTAGACAACATGTCGAGCCGTGCTGCTCTCAAGACATCGGGAAGCTGCTGTTACCGCCTCCACCTCCATTCTCATACTAGATGCTGTGACGTCCTACGCGAGGCTCTGTTTTGAAACAGCGTGTATTTACCTTTACGGTAAAACCCCACCCATTGTGACATTTGAAAGCCTGAAGTGTGAGGAAAGATCAACGACGGCAGTTTAGGTGTTTAGAAACATTTGATCAACTCGGGTTTTAGGTATCCTTTTCTTACCCTTAAAAGGGTGATGGCATGTTGTTTTGTGACATACAGCTAGGCTGCGATATCTGCGACTTTGGGCCTAACACATCCGATTTCAGTAGAAATCTCATTAGGGACTTTTTAACCATACTTGAAAAGGGACAATCAGAACAGTTGTCTCTGCTAACTTGGGACCCGGAACAGACAAAAGAATAACCCTGAGACCACCTTACCTGATACTCCTCGCTGAACAAAGGACCGTGTGGTATAAAGGCGATCTGTGTGGAGCCGCCTCCCATCTCTAGGATCCCCACGGTTTCATTCTCCGGCCTGGAAATAATCAACATACACTGGAGATACATCTCGTTGTCGGGCCAGGCTCCAACTTGGACCTTAACAATAACATACATACACAAAACTAGGGGGAAAATTGACCAAACTAGATGTAATACCCCATACTGAGGAGTCAGGGAAATTAGACTAAACTATATGGGTTATTCCAGACTGAGAAATGAGGGACACTTGATCAGACTAGATATATTGTCCAGGCCTAAGGAGTGAGAGAAAACTTGACCCACCTAGGCTTAACCCCAGTCTGAGGAGTGAGAGAAAACTTGACCCACCCAGGCTTAACCCCAGTCTGAGGAGTGAGAGAAAACTTGACCCAACCAGGCTTAACCCCAGTCTGAGGAGTGAGAGAAAACCTGACCCACCCAGGCTTAACCCCAGTCTGAGGAGTGAGAGAAAACTTGACCCACCTAGGCTTAACCCCAGTCAGAGGAGTGAGAGAAAACTTGACCCACCTAGGCTTAACCCCAGTCTGAGGAGTGAGAGAAAACTTGACCCACCCAGGCTTAACCCAGTCAGAGGAGTGAGAGAAAACTTGACCCACCTAGGCTTAACCCCAGTCTGAGGAGTGAGAGAAAACTTGACCCACCTAGGCTTAACCCCAGTCAGAGGAGTGAGAGAAAACTTGACCCACCTAGGCTTAACCCCAGTCTGAGGAGTGAGAGAAAACTTGACCCACCCAGGCTTAACCCCAGTCAGAGGAGTGAGAGAAAACTTGACCCACCTAGGCTTAACCCCAGTCTGAGGAGTGAGAGAAAACTTGACCCACTAGGCTTAACCCCAGTCAGAGGAGTGAGAGAAAACTTGACCCACCTAGGCTTAACCCCAGTCTGAGGAGTGAGAGAAAAACTTGACCCACCCAGGCTTAACCCCAGTCAGAGTAGTGAGAGAAAACTTGACCCACCTAGGCTTAACCCCAGTCTGAGGAGTGAGAGAAAACTTGACCCACCTAGGCTTAACCCCAGTCAGAGGAGTGAGAGAAAACTTGACCCACCTAGGCTTAACCCCAGTCTGAGGAGTGAGAGAAAACTTGACCCACCCAGGCTTAACCCCAGTCAGAGGAGTGAGAGAAAACTTGACCCACCTAGGCTTAACCCCAGTCTGAGGAGTGAGAGAAAACTTGACCCACCTAGGCTTAACCCCAGTCAGAGGAGTGAGAGAAAACTTGACCCACCTAGGCTTAACCCCAGTCTGAGGAGTGAGAGAAAACTTGACCCACCTAGGCTTAACCCCAGTCAGAGGAGTGAGAGAAAACTTGACCCACCTAGGCTTAACCCCAGTCTGAGGAGTGAGAAAAACTTGACCCTCCCAGGCTTAACCCCAGTCAGAGGAGTGGGAACAACTTGACCCACCCAGGCTTAACCCCAGTCTGAGGAGTGATAGAAACCGGACCCATCCAGGCTTAACCCCAGTCAGAGGAGTGGGAAAAACTTGACCCACCCAGGCTTAACCCCAGTCAGAGGAGTGAGAGAAACTTGACCCACCCAGGCTTAACCCCAGTCAGAGGAGTGAGAGAAACTTGACCCACCCAGGCTTAACCCCAGTCAGAGGAGTGAGAGAAAATTGACCCACCCAGGCTTAACCCCAGTCTGAGGAGTGAGAGAAACTTGACCCACCCAGGCTTAACCCCAGTCTGAGGAGTGAGAGAAACTTGACCCACCCAAGCCTAATCCCGGGCTGAAGAGTGGGAGAAACTTGACCACCTCAGGCCTACTCCCAGTCAGAGGAGTGAGAGAAACTAGACCACCCTAAGCCTACAGCCTACCTATCCGTATGTATAAGGCTGAGACAGATCCAGTTATATTATGTTATGTCTGTCCACAGAAAAGAGGTTTCAGTGGCGATCTGGCACATCCTGCTAGTCCACGAGCATGGGATGCTCCTGCCGCTGCTCCCAAACCTCGGCAAGGGATCAGACGTTTAACCTTCAGGGGTCAACTAAACAATGTGAGGTCACGCGTGCACGTAGCTTAAATTTAAAATCACCTGTTAGATGAAACGAGCAACAACAAGAAACAAACAAAAATTAATTCTTCACGAAACAATCCTAATTTCATGTGTTTACACAACAGCAGATCATTGACGGTGCTAGGAAGTCGAGCACTGAGTTGGAACATTTTAGGAAGCCAGAAAAAGATGAGATCGTATAGAAAATGATATGTTTTAAGAATAACGTTATTGGTTAATGAACTCAGTCGATCAATCAGTCAAGGCAGTCATATTGTTGGAAAACAATCAAAGGCGAACTCACCTGTATTTGTCAAAGAAACCATTGAGGTAGTTGGCAGCGATCCAGGAGTAGACTCCCTCCTCCTCCCCGGATAAGATGGTGATGCTGGAGGACTTGTAGAGGAAAGGGTTGATGGTTGTGTTGGCCAGAACAGCCTGAATCTTCTCCAGGAACACCTCGGCTTCCTTCTCCGTCAGGTAGCGCAGACCTGCGACATCAGGTACAATAAAGACTTTAGGTACAAGTGTCTAGACTGGAGACACACAGGACAAAAATGATTACAGGTACAAGTGTCTAGACTGGAGCCAGTAGGGACAACACTGACTTCCGGTACAAGCGTCTAGACTAGAGACACCAGGAACAACACTGACTTCAGGTACAAGTGTCTAGACTGGAGCCAGTAGGGACAACACTGACTTCCGGTACAAGCGTCTAGACTAGAGACACCAGGAACAACACTGACTTCAGGTACAAGTGTCTAGACTGGAGCCAGTAGGGACAACACTGACTTTAGGTACAAGTGTCTAGACTGGAGCCAGTAGGGACAACACTGACTTCAGGTACAAGTGTCTAGACTGGAGCCAGTAGGGACAACACTGACTTCCGGTACAAGCGTTTAGACTAGAGACACCAGGAACAACACTGACTTCCGAGACAGGAGTCTAGACTGAAGGCATCAGGGACAACACAGACTTCAGAAACAAACGTCTAAAGTTTAGACACAAGGGACAACATGACTTTAGGTACAATTGTCTAGACTGGAGACATCAGGGACAACACTGACTTCAGGTACAAGTGTCTAGACTGGAGACATCAGGAACAACACTGACTTCAGGTACAAGTGTCTAGACTGAAGGCATCAGAGACAACACAGACTTCAGAGACAAACGTCTAAAGTTTAGACACAAGGGACAACACTGATTTCTGAGACAATTGTCTAGACTGGAGACATCAGGGACAACAGTCTTCAGAGACAAGAGTCTAGACTGGAGGCATCAGGGACAACACAGTCTTCAGAGACAAGAGTCTAGACTGGAGGCATCAGGGACAACAGTCTTCAGAGACAAGAGTCTAGACTGGAGGCATCAGGGACAACACAGACTTCAGAGACAAGCGTCTAAACTTTAGACACAAGGGACAACACTGATTTCTGAGACAATTGTCTAGACTGGAGAAATCAGGGACAACACAGTTTTCAGAGACAATAGTCTAGACTGGAGGCACAAGGGACAACACAGTCTTCAGAGACAAGAGTCTAGACTGGAGGCACAAGGGACAACACAGTCTTCAGAGACAAGAGTCTAGACTGGAGGCACAAGGGACAACATAGTCTTCAGAGACAAGAGTCTAGACTGGAGGCACAAGGGACAACACTGATTTCGGGTACAAGTGTCTAGACGCAGGACCGTAATATGGTCAATCACTACACTGTTTCTTTTAGATTGTTTCCGGTATTATGTTCTAATACTGGCTTTTGATCATCCGCCTCAAAGGGTTAGTCTCTCCATATTGCATTACCGTTTTATAATTGAATAAGATGTGGGTGATAACTGCAAAGGAGTGTGTATTATATGCGTGTATAAGTGTATATATGTGTTCATGTATCTATGACTATGTGTGTATGCGTGTGAATGGATCTGAATGAATGTGTGAATATGTGTACGTGTTTGTATATGGATGAGTAAGTGTATGTGTTCTTGTACATGAATGGGTCTGTGTGAATGTGTGAATATGTATGTGTTAGTATATGTATGAGTTAGTGTATGTGTTCTTGTACACGTGTATGAATGTGTGGATATATGGGCGGCTGTGTACGGATGTGTATGTATGTGTGCTATCTTTGTGCTTATGTGTATATATGGGTATTGTATATGTATGTGTATGTGTTTCTGTTTGTACTTAAATGGGTGCCTTTGTATGTTTAGTTGTATGTGTATGTATAGTCGATTGTGTATGTATGGGTATCTTTGAGTGTGTGAATCTACAGGTGTGTGTGTGTGTGTGAATGTGTGTGTGTTTGGGTGTCTTTGTGTATGCTTGGGTATAATTGTCTATGTGTATGTATGAATGCATATGAGTGTTAGTATGTGTATATACGAATATATATGAGCGTGAGTATGTCTTTGTATGAATATATATGAGTGTAAGAATGTTTATGTAAGTATAGGTGGGCATGCTTGGGTATGTATTATGAACGCATTTGAATGCATCAGTGTGTATGTATGTGTGTATGTATCAGTGTGTATGTATGTGTGTATGCATCAGTGTGTATGTATGTGGGCTAGATGTATGAATGTGTGTGTTTGTGTGTGTATAAATGTGTATGCATAAGCGCGAGCGCATATAAATGTAAATATGAGTGTGAGTGCATGTGTGTATATATGAGTGTGATTGCATGTATTTGTATATATGAGTGTGAGTGCATGTGTGTGTATATATGAGTGTGAGTGCATGTATTTGTATATATGAGTGTGAGTGCATGTGTGTGTATATATGAGTGTGACTGCATGTGTGTGTATATATGAGTGTGAGTGCATGTGTGTGTATATATGAGTGTGAGTGCATGTGTGTGTATATATGAGTGTGAGTGCATGTGTGTGTATATATGAGTGTGAGTGCATGTATGTGTATGCATGTGCATCAGCCTTCTGTAGCAGGGAAAAGATCGCAACAGGACACTAGTAAGTCAACAACTTGACACATAAGGCACTGTTGTGGTAACCGGGCACATCAAGTATCTCTGTGGTGACCCGGCACATCAAGTATCTCTGTGGTAACCGGGCACATCAAGTATCTCTGTGGTGACCCGGCACATCAAGTATCTCTGTGGTGACCCGGCACATCAAGTATCTCTGTGGTGACCCGGCACATCAAGTATCTCTGTGGTGACCGGGCACATCAAGTATCTCTGTGGTAACCAGGAACATCAAGTATCTATGTGGTGACCGGGCATATCAAGTATCTCTGTGGTGACCCGGCACATCAAGTATCTCTGTGGTGACCAGGAACATCAAGTATCTCTGTGGTGATTGGGCACAGCAAATATCTCTGTGGTGACCGGGAACATCAAGTATCTCTTTGGTGACCGGGAACATCAAATATCTCTGTGGTGACCCGGCACATCAAATATCTCTGTGGTGACCGGGAACATCAAATATCTCTGTGGTGACCCGGCACATCAAGTATCTCTGTGGTGACCCGGCACATCAAGTATCTCTGTGGTGACCCGGCACATCAAGTATCTCTGTGGTGACCGGGAACATCAAGTATCTCTGTGGTGACCCGGCACATCAAGTATCTCTGTGGTGACCCGGCACATCAAGTATCTCTGTGGTGACCGGGAACATCAAGTATCTCTGTGGTGACCGGGAACATCAAGTATCTCTGTGGTGACCCGGCACATCAAGTATCTCTGTGGTGACCCGGCACATCAAGTATCTCTGTGGTGACCCGGCACATCAAGTATCTCTGTGGTGACCCGGCACATCAAGTATCTCTGTGGTGACCCGGCACATCAAGTATCTCTGTGGTGACCGGGAACATCAAGTATCTCTGTGGTGACCCGGCACATCAAGTATCTCTGTGGTGACCCGGCACATCAAGTATCTCTGTGGTGACCGGGCATATCAAGTATCTCTGTGGTGACCGGGAACATCAAGTATCTCTGTGGTGACAGGGAACATCAAATATCTCTGTGGTGACCGGGAACATCAAGTATCTCTGTGGTGACCGGGAACATCAAGTATCTCTGTGGTGACCGGGAACATCAAGTATCTCTGTGGTGACCGGGAACATCAAGTATCTCTGTGGTGACCGGGAACATCAAGTATCTCTGTGGTGACCAGGAACATCAAGTAACTCTGTGGTGACCGGGAACATCAAGTATCTCTGTGGTGACCGGGAACATCAAATATCTCTGTGGTGACCGGGAACATCAAGTATCTCTGTGGTGACCGGGCACATCAAGTATCTCTGTGGTCACCCGGCACATCAAGTATCTCTGTGGTGACCCGGCACATCAAGTATCTCTGTGGTGAGCGGGCACATCAAGTATCTCTGTGGTGACCCGGTACATCAAGTATCTCTGTGGTGACCGGGAACATCAAGTATCTCTGTGGTGACCCGGCACATCAAGTATCTCTGTGGTGACCCGGCACATCAAGTATCTCTGTGGTGACCGGGAACATCAAGTATCTCTGTGGTGACCGGGAACATCAAATATCTCTGTGGTGACCGGGCACATCAAGTATCTCTGTGGTGACCGGGCACATCAAGTATCTCTGTGGTGACCAGGATCATCAAGTATCTCTGTGGTGACCGGGCATATCAAGTATCTCTGTGGTGACCGGGCACATCAAGTGTCTCTGTGGGGACCAGGAACATCAAGTATCTCTGTGGTGACCGGGCACATCAAGTATCTCTGTGGTGACCGGGCACAGCAAATATCTCTGTGGTGATAGAGCACATCAAATATCTCTGTGGTGACCGGGCACATCAAATATCTCTGTGGTGACTGGGCACAGCAAATATCTCTGTGGTGATAGAGCACATCAAATATCTCTGTGGTGACCGGGCACATCAAATATCTCTGTGGTGACCGGGCACATCAAATATCTCTGTGGTGACCGGGCACATCAAATATCTATGTGGTGACTGGGCACAGCAAATATCTCTGTGGTGACCGGGAACATCAAGTATCTCTGTGGTGACCGGGCACATCAAATATCTCTGTGGTGACTGGGCACATCAAGTATCTCTGTGGTGACAGGGCACATCAAGTATCTCTGTGGTGACCAGGAACATCAAGTATCTCTGTGGTGACCAGGAACATCAAGTATCTCTGTGGTGACCGGGAACATCAAATATCTCTGTGGTGACCGGGCACATCAAATATCTCTGTGGTGACCGGGCACATCAAGTATGTGGCGACCGCTAGACAGGACAGTTGTAGAAGGCGGACATATATATATATATATATATATATATATATATATATATATATATATATATATATATATGTGTGTGTGTGTGTGTGTGTGTGTCTGTGCGCGCGCGCGCGTATCTGTGGAAACGGGACTGGTGTATGGTTTGCACTGTGTCATATGTGAGTCAAATGAGGGGCCTACCTGCTGTGGCCATGAGGTATATGGGGGTAGACTTCTGCTTGTGGTCCGGCACGTCTTGTTTGGCCCTGGAGACGATGCTGGAGATGTAGCTAACAAGTCCGATCTCGTCCTCCTCGAAGGATCCTAGGCCGTTGTCAAATCTCTCGTTGGCTAGAAGATCGATCCGGGGCACCAAGGAATCACCGGTGGTTTGGTTCCACCTGTTGGTGAAGGTAACTAAAAAGTTCAAGGTAACTGACATGGCAGGAACCACCGTTAGGTCAAGGTCAAAGTACCCCATAATGAGTATTGCTTCTGGTAGATTCCTGTTGGTAAACCTTGCTATAATCTAGGTCAGGAGAGATGAAGGGACCAGTTACATTACTCGTCGACTTGCCCATCAAACACGAGCATAGATATGAGGTCAAGGTAACAGAATCAGCAGAAGATAGAAATGTAATACTCTCGTATCAAATATCAAATATCATTGCGGATATATGAAGCCAAAACATGAATAACAACTGAAACAATTCTATTACTAATAAACAACTCAGGAAGTGTCAAGTTAAACTATTCACGTAAATAATGGACTACCCGTGTGTTATGTGTGTTTGCTGTAACGATTCTGCTTGTTTGTTTAAGCTTGTATGAATCATTTTTGTTTTTTGTTATCTGTTGACTAAATCTTGCAGCAATCACCTGGCAAGTGACAGCGACAGTTGCCTGATAATTATTTCCGCTGCCTGTTATTTGAGTCTTCCAGTTTCAGGTTTTCTCCGAAAACTGAAAAGGAACTAACTGTTGCCCTCATTTAATTAAACATGAAATGGAAAATATGGCTGTCTCCCACCTGACAGATATTTGTAATCATGCCGCGCGAGTCGGTGTGTTTCTTCAATTTTAGTCCGCCTTGTATTTTATATTAGTATAATTATCTGATGTTATTTTAAAGTATATTATAAAGTATATTATAGTTTACAATTGTACATGATGAAGTTTAAAGTATATTATGTTTTTCAATGCGCCTAAAGTATTTCAATTGTCTATTTTTTTTATTTATTTCAGTATATCTCTTTTTATTGTAGCTTTTCGGAACCTCCGTATTGCATCGATTTTATTTCCATGAAATGCGACCCATTCTTCACTTTACCCACATCTCCAGAGACTCAGTTAAATTTTCTAGTCGCTTGTTCATTGTTCAAGTTTCTGCACCATATAGCAGGACTGAGTGTACAGAACATTTGATGATTCTCATTGTAAGTGTATTGTTGATCTTTCTAGCTATCAGTAATTTCTCATCTTATTAAAGTTAGATTTAGCAATTCCTATTTTTTTTCCTATTTTTTTTTTAAAATTCATGTTTCTCTTCTACCATCATCTGTTATGACATGTCCTAGATAGTAGAAACTGGTTACTTGTTCTGATAGCTCTCTGTTTACTTGTGGCCGCTGTCTTTCATTGTTATGACATGTCCTAGATAGTAGAAACTATTTACTTGTTCTGATAGCTCTCTGTTTACTTGTGGCCGCTGTTTTTCATTGTTATGACATGTCCTAGATAGTAGAAACTATTTACTTGTTCTGATAGCTCTCTGTTTACTTGTGGCCGCTGTTTTTCATTGTTAATTATCACAACTTTTGTTTTTAAAATGTTAATGTCTAAATAAGTGTTTCCCAAACTTGTCTTGGTGGCGGGGCTCCCCCCCCCCCCCCAAAAAAAAAAAAATTGGTCCATTGCGCCCTACCGCAAGTAAAAGTATGACTACTCGTGTCTTGGTTAAATTGATTATGAAGGTTTTACAATATTTCGCGGCGGCCCTGTGAAGAAGTCGTGGCTCCACTGGGTGTCGCGGCGTACAGTTTGGAAATCACTGGTCTAAACCATAGTCTGCATCCTTGCCTGTTGACTGGATCTACTAGCTCTTGTAACTCCTGCTCGCTGTATGCCAGTAACACTGTGTAACTCTTGCTCGCTGTCTGCCAGTAACACTGTGTAACTCCTGCTCGCTGTCTGCAAGTAACACTGTGTAACTTCTGCTCGGTGTCTGCAAGTAACACTGTGTAACTCCTGCTCGCTGTCTGCAAGTAACACTGTGTAACTCCTGCTCGCTGTCTGCAAGTAACACTGTGTAACTCCTGCTCACTGTCTGCAAGTAACACTGTGTAACACCTGCTCGCTGTCTGCAAGTAACACTGTGTAACTCCTGCTCGCTGTCTGCCAGTAACACTGTGTAACTCCTGCTCGCTGTCTGCAAGTACCACTGTGTAACTCCTGCTCGCTGTCTGCAAGTAACACTGTGTAACTTCTGCTCACTGTCTGCCAGTAACACTTTGTAACTTCTGCTCACTGTCTGCAAGTAACACTTTGTAACTTCTGCTCACTGTCTGCAAGTAACACTGTGTAACTCCTGCTCAAAGTCTGCCAGTAACACTTTGTAACTTCTGCTCACTGTCTGCAAGTAACACTGTGTAACTCCTGCTCAAAGTCTGCCAGTAACACTTTGTAACTTCTGCTCACTGTCTGCAAGTAACACTGTGTCATCCGCATATCTGAGATTGTTGATTGTTCTTGCATTAATATTCAGTCCAGGTGATTCTTCAACTTGTTTAAAAATGTTTTCTTTGAAACAGTTGAAAAGGCTGAGGTATAACACATCCTTGGCATGTTTCTCTTTTTATATCTATCCGTGGTGAGGTGTTGTTGTTATGTCTAACTTGCTATTTTTCCAAGTAGAAGTTACTAATAATTATGATATCCTATCCATCTAATCCCGTGTTTTGGAGGCATACAATTAGCTTGTCTTGTTGCACCCTGGTATATGTACTTTTTTTTTTTTTAAATCTAGAAACCATGAGTTATTGAACCTTTGAATCGGTACTATGGATATCGCAGCCCTTCGGTATCGATTCCATGATAGATCCCGTAAATGTGGGAGAAATGTGGCTTATATGCCTACCCCCGGTAGTAAATCCAGACCACAAGAAGTTCGTCACTCGGTCACCGAGATGTCAGGTTTAACCAACTACGCTAGCGAGCCGGGTTGGTATATCTACTCGTGTGTGCCATGTTCATGACATTCTTGGCTGACGGACCCAGCGGTCTAGACCAATTTAAATATTTCATTTTCGACAGGGAGCCCGAGCTTGTATTCCAGACCGCATGTGTCACTTGTAGTGCTCAACAATTGTCCGGAAGCATGCACATTTATGCACGCGTGCGCGCGCACACACACAGATACGTGTATGAGAGGTCCACTGTTAGATCTACATTGTCTAGACGTGTATGAGAGGTCCACTGTTAGATCTACATTGTCTAGATGTGTATGAGAGGTCCACTGTTAGATCTACATTGTCTAGACGTGTATGAGAGGTCCACTGGTAGATCTACATTGTCTAGACGTGTATGAAAGGTCCACTGTTAGATCTACATTGTCTAGACGTGTATGAAAGGTCCACTGTTAGATCTACATTGTCTAGACGTGTATGAAAGGTCCACTGTTAGATCTACATTGTCTAGACGTGTATGAGAGGTCCGCTGCTAGATCTACATTGTCTAGACGTGTATGAGAGGTCCACTGTTAGATCTACATTGTTGAAGTCCAGTCAGCACACTAAGGCTCATAGGGCAGTATCATCCCGACAACTTTACTTCCCATTATATTTCCCAGAACGTATTTGTAGGTCGGATTGACCTGGTCATTGGAACAAAGGTAAGAACTGGAACCTATGAGCTTTACAGCGACAGGTAGTCCAACCATATACTGCTGTTTCACAACTACCACCTGGGGTAACAGTGGGGATGTTCACTGTCTGGTCAGTCATGTCACACAAACTTCATTCTGCCAATATCTACCCACACTACCTCTCGCTGGTTCACTGATAAAGTCTATGTCATACATATCTTCAATCTGCCTTCATCTACGAACACCACCTCTTGGTGGCTTCTATGTTGCAGTCAATGGCACACATACTTCAGTGTGTACCCACACAAGCTCTTTGTGGTTTCTCTATTGCAGTCCACGGTAAACACACTTCAGTGTGTACCCACACAACCTCTTGGTGGCTTCTCTGTTGCAGTTGTCACAAGACTAATCTTCTGAATCAAGAAGCCAAAGTCGTTTATTCCCTTCCAGTTTTAACTGCATTCTTCTCCAGTTCACAGTTGCCTTTTCCTACGTTTCTACAGCTACAACAAAACTTATGCGCCTGCAAACACACACACACACACACACACACACACCCACACACACACACACACACACACACACACACACACACACACGTCTGGCTTTAATCAACGTTGCGATGCTGCATTGAGTTTTCCTTTTTTTCCCCCTTCTCAAATCACACGTCACAAGCAGTCAAGCCAAGGAGCAAACAAACAAACCAACGAAAAAACGAACATAGTGCTAGCCCAACTCTAACCACCTGCTAGCCTAAGTCTAACGACTTGCTAGCCTAACTCTAACGACTTGCTAGACCACCTCTAACGACTTGCTAGCCTAACTCTAACGACTTGCTAGACCACCTCTAACGACTTGCTAGCCTAACTCTAACGACTTGCTAGACCACCTCTAACGACTTGCTAGCCTAACTCTAACGACTTGCTAGCCTAACTCTAACGACTTGCTAGCCCACCTCTAACGACTTGCTAGCCCAACTCTAACCACCTGCTAGCCTAAGTCTAACGACTTGCTAGACCACCTCTAACGACTTGCTAGCACAATTCTAACTACCTGTTAGTTCACCTCAAACTATGTTACCTGTTATAATTACGCCCATTCTTTCTTGTAATTGTAATTTATATCATACTTAATGTTGAGCTTGGCAGAAGAAGAAAATGATGAAACCAACAAGGTGAGGTGAACAACCTGACAAGACATGACACCAACAAGGTAAGGTCAACAACCTGACATGACACCAACAAGGTAAGGTCAACAACCTGACATGACACCAACAAGGTAAGGTCAACAACCTGACATGACACCAACAAGGTAAGGTCAACAACCTGACATGACCCCAACAAGGAGTGAGATGAATAACCTGACATGATATGACCCACAAAAATGAGGTGAACAACCTGACATGACATCAACAAGAAGTGAGGTTAAGGACATGACATCAACAAGGAGTAAGGTTAAGGACATGACATTGCATGACATAACATCAACAAGTAGTAAAGTTACCGACATGACATTAACAAGAAGTGAGGTTAAACAGCAAACACATCAACAAGAAGTGAGGTTAAACAGCAAACACATCAGCAAGAAGTGAGTTTATGGACATAACACCAACAAGAAGTGAGGTTAAGGACATGACATTGCATGATATAACATCAACCAGAAGGAATGTTAAACAGCAAACACATCAACAAGCAGGAAGGTTAAACAACAAACACATCAACAAGAAGTGAGGTTAAACAGCAAACACATCAACAAGGACTGAGGTTAAACAGCAAACACATCAACAAGGACTGAGGTTAAACAACAAACACATCAACAAGGACTGAGGTTAAACATCAACAAGGACTGAGGTTAAACAACAAACACATCAACAAGAAGTGAGGTTAACGACAGGACATTGCATGATATAACATCAACCAGAAGGAAGGTTAAACAACAAACTCACCTGTAGACTTTCAGCTTGGTACTGGTGCTGCCAGCGTCCAAGAGGACGCCGTAGTTGGCCTGCGCAACATTGCTGGGAGAGGATGTCGCTGGAGCTGCGGTGATGGAGGATGTTAAGAAGTAGATGATTGGCAGATAGGTCGGTAGCCAGGTAGCTAGCTCTGTCATCTTGTAACTTGTTGTTTCTGTTGTGGTAAAACCTACAAGTGGGTAAGGAACAATATGTCTGTTAGTGGGGTCATTTATCTCAAAGAGAAGGTCACAGACAGAAACATCGTAGATGGTTACACAGTTAGAACAGTAGGGCGAACAATCAACATCCCATCATCGCCTACCCTCTCAAAGACACGCACCGGACACTCTCCTCGTCTTGGTCAGTGGTCTCCAGCCGATGACCAGCCGACCATCTACGTCCGCCGAAGTGACCTGGTGAGTCTGCCGTCAGTGCAGAATGCTCCTGAACTAACAAGGAAATGACGCAGTTAAATGATGCTATCCCAATGTTATTATAGAAAGTGATTATAGAACAACGGACACTCGCAAGTAATCAACTTCAAGACTAAAGCAACCCTGGTCATTGTTAAGGCCTCTGTGGTGAACCATTTGACCAACGGTTCCCAACTCTTTCAACCGAAAAAGCCGTTTTTAGAATCAGTTTATTTTGGGCCTAACTTACCCTGTATCTTGCAAGTGAAAGGCGTTTGGGTGTAGTGTTGTGGATCCGGGAAGGACGGAGTAGATAGTCGAGGAAATCAAATATAAAGAGATGTCTAAAGAACTGGGCAATATCCAAACAATGAATTTTTTATGAATACTGAGGTCAATTTATTGATGGCTACCAGTACACATGATATTGTCAACACTACAGGTCCACAACAGGTCAATTTATTGATGGCTACCAGTACACATGATATTGTCAACACTACAGGTCCACCACAGGTCAATTTATTGATGGCTACCAGTACACATGATATTGTCAACACTACAGGTCATCCACAGGTCAATTTATTGATGGCTACCAGTTCACATGATATTGTCAACACTGCAGGTCATCCACAGGTCAATTTATTGATGGCTACCAGTACACATGATATTGTCAACACTACAGGTCATCCACAGGTCAATTTATTGATGGCTACCAGTACACATGATATTGTCAACACTGCAGGTCATCCACAGGTCAAATTATTGATGGCTACCAGTACACATGATATTGTCAACACTACAGCCCCTCCAAAGTTCAATAAAGCGAACCATTTGCACTACATTTGACGTTGCTGGTGAAGGCAGCGATAAGATAAATACGATACTGAATGATCATTTCAAGAAACACCTGTGGTGGGATTGTGTGGCTCGATTTGATTTAATCCAGGTTTAACTGACCAGTGCAGGTGAACGTCTGATTCTACATCTTAGCGGTGTTTTGAGGGTGTTTGTTTGGTCCAGTCAACTATACATAAGCAATCAGGATTTTGAATGTATCTGATAAAAGCAGGTCATGCTCCAGTAGACTTGATTGTTTAGTTGGCTGGGAGCCGTTAAATCTATTAGGAACTTGTATTTGTTGAGTTTAAGCAAACGCTGAACACATTCACTAAAGGTCACTATGGGTCACTAAAGGTCACTATAGGTCACTAAATGTCACTATAGGTCACTAAAGGTCACTATAGGCCACTAAAGGTCACTAAAGGTCACTAAAGGTCACTAAAGGTCACTATAGGTCACTAAAGGTCACTATAGGTCACTAAACACATTCTCCTGAGATTTGTCAGAAAATGAGGGTGAACTGAGTCGTTCAAAGCGTTGAGACAATCCTCAAAATGTGTCGGTATTGTTTTTTTCTGGAACCTTGATGCCCTCCCCCCCCCACCCCTCCCCTCTTTCTCCTCTGTATATCTTTTCCTGAACCTTGATTGGTCCCCCCCCCCCCTTCTCTCTCTCTCCTCTGTATATCTTTTCCCGTACCTTGATCCCCCCCCCCCCTCTATCTCCTCTGTATATCTTTTCCTAAACCTTGATGGGTCTCCATCAACACTTCATGTCTTGGTTGGCACTGGTCAGGAGAAAAAGCGGCCCTCATGATGATAGTTGAGTCAATGAATCTAACCAACAAATAGCACGAAGACCGCCAACCCGTCAGTGGATTCTTCCATTTATACTGAGAATTTGCTAGATTTAATGCCATAGATAATTGTCTCTTTCAAGTGACCAGCCACGTCGCTGATTCCACATCTGTCTTTACATTTTTCTGTTATTTAGCGGCCACCCAGCGCCTGGATAGTTCACGCGGAACCCTCGAGGTTCGACGGAGCACCAGCTGCCAACCGCTGCAATAGACCAATGGGCACACAGTGTCTGATGTGGTCAAATCTACTTCTTAGAACCATTTTAGTGCCCAGTTTAGGCCCAAGTAATAGATACAAAATCCTGGTTTTGAATGGGATTTGAACGTTTTCCCCACAATACGGATAGGCAGTCAGACTAGCTACGGCCACTACTGCAGCTTCACATATTGTCGTGTAGCCAGACTTGGCCGTAAAGATGTGAAAACTGTTACATTTACAGTCAAGAGAATCGATTTATTTACACCCACATTTGTCCTAGATTGTTCAATCCCTCCCCATAGAACGTCTTGCCACAAGCCAGTAACGACTTAATGGGCGGGCACGAACTCCGTAACTCCAGTGACGATCCAGGAAAATCTGAAGATAAAGTGCACTCTTAAACTGAACGACACAGTCCATTTACGAACGCTCGGCCTCCATAGCACGAGAAAGACTGATTAGCCACTGAATACTGAAAGCAGTGAGAACAACAAACAGCCGACGTGTGCCAGGTGACAGTCGCTGCAAGTGAGCGCTGCCAGTTGACAGTCGCTGCAAGTGAATGCTGACAGTGTCTGTGTAAGTGAATAGATGACATGTCTGCATCGGGACAATAGCGGAATTCACCGACACCATGTCTGCTTGCAAAAGTGGCCGCCACGTGATCCCGCGTTCCGCCCCAGCTGCTCCTGTTGTGTGACCTGCAACTCTGTAGCCATGCCCTGCCCCCCCCCCCTCCCCCCCCCTCCCCCCCCCCCGTTTGTAGGAGATAGCTCCTGCGTGACTGGATTCTTGTATACAGCTGAAGTAGGCCCTAATACATAGGAGACGTTCTGGGTACAGGTTGACATTCAACCATATAATGCACGGACAGATAATGAGATTTAGGAAGCAAAGGCGTCCAAGAAAACACCTGTAACGAACGTGAAGGACAGGTTAAACAATCTAAACTGACTAATTTTTTTTTCAAAATTGTGGAATGTAACTTTCTTACACTGCGTGAAAATGTATTCATTTCTGTACATAATAATGCAAGTCTTGTTGCAAAATTCAATCTAAAAGCAATTTTAATTCATTTTTTTTTAACAATGGCATAGTGACTGTTTAATTACACAATTATATGGGCAAAGTATTCAAACTGTCCGACCTCAGTTATTTATCAACCCTTTTTAATAATTATTTCTCCAGTTTGTTAGAAATTATATAACAACTGTGATAGCCTAATCTGTTTAATCCATGTTGGAACACATAAGCTGGAAGAAGCTGTAATTGATTCTGTTTTTAAATTATGATGAAAGAGAACTAGACAGGGCTAAGCTGGGGCACAGTGTTCCCACATTTCTTCAATTTGATCAGGCACGTGAAAGGGCAGCTGAACAATGTAATCAAATGGATACGAAGATAAAAAAAGAGCTAGGTAAAGTATTCAGACAGCTGAGGAATACAGTGAGGATGACTCACAAGCAGCAGGGACTCATTAGGGAAAGGATTATTGTGAAAACCAGCTTCGGCGGTTACTTTTTATAAAATTCTTTTTAAAACACCACCTTGTATACATTATCTCAAAAAGTTACAAACTTATTGTCTTCATACTTGGCACACACATGGGAAATGATCAGTGAATCGGACTGAACTAACATAAAGGCAACAGCCTGAATACTTTTTGCACTTGTCATATATCGTAACGCTTAACCCCAATTTTTTATTTAAAATAGTATTGTACCCCATCAATAAACATACCTTTCAAACAGTGGCTTTAAGTGAATAGTATTTATTTAGCACGATCAGTTTGAAATATAATGTTAAACATACGTGTACATTTTTAATAAGCCATCTTTGTTAGTTTTTGAAATACGTTAGCAAATGTTGATTACAATTTGGCTTTTTTCCGCATAAAATGTGACATTTTCTATCAATATCCGAGAAAATATGTTGATTTTAGGCCCACAATACTGTTCAGTTAGTTTGTACCTACAGAAAGCATTGTTTCCAACAGATTTAATCAAATTCAATTCGGTTGTTTAACATAGAAAGGTGTCCAAGAAAACACTTGTGACGAACGTTAAAGAAAGGTGTCAAAGAAATCACTTGTGACGAACGTTAAAGAAAGGTGTCCAAGAAAACACTTGTGACGAACGTTAAAGAAAGGTGTCCAAGAAAACACTTGTGACGAACGTTAAAGAAAGGTGTCCAAGAAAACACTTGTGACGAACGTTAAAGAAAGGTGTCCAAGAAAACACTTGTGACGAACGTTAAAGAAAGGTGTCCAAGAAAACACTTGTGACGAACGTTAAAGAAAGGTGTCCAAGAAAACACTTGTGACGAACGTTAAAGAAAGGTGTCCAAGAAAACACTTGTGACGAACGTTAAAGAAAGGTGTCCAAGAAAACACTTGTGACGAACGTTAAAGAAAGATGTCCAAGAAAACACTTGTGAAGAACGTTAAAGAAAGGGATGATACGGTGACAGTTGATGGACTGAAGTCCTTAACGCCCTAACGGCACAGGCCAGAACAGAATGAAGGAGCCATATGTATCGTCTAAACGGCACGACAAGATGATGATAGTGGGTGGTGGTGGTGGTAGTGATGTTGATGTTGGTGGTGGTGGTGATGTTGATGGTGGTGGTGGTGATGTTGATGGTGGTGGTGGTGAGGTTGATGGTGGTGGTGGTGGTGATGATGTTGGTGATGATGCTGGTGATGGCTAGTTATCATGATTTTGGTGATGGTGGTGGTGGTGGTGGTTGTGGTGGTGATGATGATGATGGTGGTGGTGGTGGTGTTGGTGGTGGTGGTGATGATGATGATGATGTTGGTGGTGGTGGTGATGCCAATGGAAGTGA